ATGACACCAAACTGGCTCATATATTCATGAATGAATGAATGAATGAATGAATGAATGAATGAATGAATGAATGAATGAATGTTAAGTAGAATCTTACTGGGACTGGATGGGAAATCCCAAGTCATAGGCTAAATTGGGATTTAAAAAAACAAACAAACATAGATGAAGGCAATGCAAGCCATTCCCAAACGGCTTCCAAGCAAACTACAAGGATATGTCTCTGTAGTCATCAGCAGTTAAGCTCAACTTGAGAGAGTATTTACCTTTTTCAAATCCTTGGCCCAACTGCAACACAGAACTTTAAACCTTCCATTTCCACCAGAAGGAAAAATGGTGGAATTATGCATTTCTTTTTGGAAGAGCTACATGGGCATTTTAAGCAGGTGCAAAATATAATGTTGTAAAAGCTTCCAGCAGGTATAAAATGTGGCTAATAAGATAACACATTTTTTAAATTCAGTGCAATGAGCAACCCCCTAGCTCATCCAAGAAAAGCATAAACCATGCCTCGATCTAAGCACTGCTTCTTCTCACTGTCTTGAAAATTCCCCCTGCAAAGTCATTAACATGCTTGCCATGGTAGAATTAAGAAAAATATTCTGTGACATAATCAGAGTGCGCGTTAAGATGCAAGGGATGTTCAAACAGATAAAGTCAGGGCGGATTTCAGTTGAGAAACCACACTGTGAAGTAAGAAGGAATGAGGAGGTCTGACAAGAGCAGATAATACTTCCTAAACCATTAACTTACCGCTCTGGTGTCCCCAACCCTTTAACTGCCTAATTTTATGAAAAGGTGAGTGGCTTGCCTGTTTAAGAATGCTCTGAAAATGATCCTGCTGTTCTTTCAGTTTACTTCCCTACATCCCAAAGTTAGAATTGTCCACTAGGTCGATATTTGCAATTCATACTTGCGTTCATTGTCCCTTGCTTGTTATTGCCGCAAAGGAACTCAATCTATCAAGAAGCATTGCGTTCAATGCAGTATCAAAAGTTCTGTCTGCACAAATAGAATGGGCTGAAAGAGAAATATTCATGTACTCCCATACCTATGAGATCAATGTACAGGTAGTTCTCAAGTTATGACCATTCATTCAGCAGCCATTCAAAGTTATGACGGTGCCGAAAAAGTGGACTTACAACTGGTCCCCAAAGTTATGGTCACTGCAGCACCCCCACAGTCACATGATCGTGATCTGGGTGCTTGGCAACCCATTCGCATTTACGACTGGTTGCCCAGCACCCCACAATCATGTGATTGTCATTTGCAACCTTCCCTGCCAGCTTCCCACAAACAAAGTCAATGGAGAAGCTAGCAGGGGAGGCCACAAATTGCTCAGGTAAGTCTCTCCCACCTACCCCAGCCTTTCTTCACTCACATGCACCATGCCTTCCTTCCCCCTTCACTCACTTGCTTGCTTTTTGGTACTCTGTGAGCTGCAGCGTGGCAAGCGGCCCCAGAGCCCAGTTCTGGGGCTGCTTGCTGCCCCACAAGGCAGGGTTCAGGGCAGCCAAAAGGGCAGAGATAGGGGAGAGATAGGCAGGTGGGGGGAGATGGAGGCAGTCCCTTACCTTACTGAGGCTCAAGGCTGAGAGGGATCAAGCCCAGAATGGCTTGGATTGGAGCAGGTCCCCGGCTAACAACCAGTGGAACTTGCTTAACCATGATAATGGGGAGTGCCGGCTTGCCATCACTAAGTGATGCAATAATGTAAAGTCTCACTTTATGACTGCATTGCATAGCAACAGAAATTCCAGTCCCAATTGTGCTTGTAAATCGAGGACTACCTGTAATTTTTTTCCTCCAATATTCTTTTACTTGATTGGAGTTATTTATGTATTAATTGCTTTGAATGAAAAGATCAATTCATCCCACCATTTAAAATACTGAACCATGCTTTGGATGTTAACCCATTCAAGAGTGGAGCCTGGGACAACTAAAAAAGTCAAAACAGAATGTTGGATAATGAACTTACTTCATGCAGACAATCTTTATACAGCTTCTAAGCGCTAAGCTTAGTTTTACAAATCAGCTGGATGGAAAAAGAAAAATCTGATTCCTGAGGCTTTCTGCAAGAAGTTATTTGAAGGTCCCTCAATTGATCCTCCATGTTCTTTATGTGGATCTCTTTCATACAATTAAGCCAATGGACAATTCAGGCCAGCAGTGCTTAACTATACAGGATGTGTATATATGTGTGTGTAAACCACAGCCAAATGGGAACCTTGTTAATCACACAGATGCACACACAGACATCAACATTCTTAATAAGAACTTCTTCACATTTTAAGAAGAGACATCTTTAAGAGATGTCTTAAAACTGTCTTTCCCAGAAAACATTTTAAGGGAAATACTTCAGATATTTTTCTCAATCACATTTTCTGCAAGATCTTATTTGAACATTCTCTCAAGATAATGATTCTTTCCCACTGCACCTATATCTGGAGCATAATGGGGAGTGTGAAGTAATAATTAGGTCACCAACAGAGCTGAAGGAGGAAAGAAGAAAAAGGAATGGCTGCCCTCTTTACAAATAGCTGGAACATGTTCTTCCTCCTGGAAAAATTAAATAGAATTTTACTTCCCTGCCCACATACTGATTGGATAATTTTGAAGGATCACACAATTCTATGAACATACAATGCTCTTGATTAGAACAGATCTATTATGAAGGATATTGGGCAGGGAACGGGTGGTATGATATTTACAAAATACATTGCAAATAATTTTATACTAAATCTAAGTTGAGCAAGGTTTTCTGGCAGCCCCACTTTACAATGTTAATAAATGGCTACATCTGGACATCTCAAAAACTCATTGTTCCAGCAGATCCGATCTACTGTTATCAAATAAAGAATATGTAACAGAACTTCCATATTCAGAGGCATTACATTTCACCTTTGTTGTGGATTTCTAAGCACAGCCTAGATGGGCACCTGTAGGAAAACTGTAGCAATGGTGGGGGGGTGGGGGGGGTTGCACTGGCAAGGAATTAAAATTTGGGGTGATCCGATCAAGCATCCTTATTAGATATGAAAGTGATGTCACCCATAAGAAATTCTTTGCCCAGCCATGAATATTGGTTGCAAAAAGCTGAGTTTACCATAATGATCTACTATTTTCCAGGTTAGGTTACTTCAATGCACACTAAGTGAGGCTGTCCTTAAAAAACATCTGGAAATGGTAACTGCTTCAAAAAGTGATGGCTAGATTACAGGTGGGAGATATATATATTTAACCATATTAAGTTTACACATGGAGTACAATTTACCCTTGAAAGTCAAAGTAATCTTTGTTGTCATTGTACTACTTGTACAATGAAATTAAATGCCACCCCAGTGCAGCTTTAAAAATATAAAAACCACAGAACACATAAAACACATAACACACAACCTTCACATTCCATATTGCACAACCCCTGATGCTGCATTAATACTGCACTATACGGTAGAGTTCAGCAACCCAATCTTTGTTGTCATTGTACTACTTGTACAATGAAATTAAATGCCACCCCAGTGCAGCTTTAAAAATATAAAAACCACAGAACACATAAAACACATAACACACAACCTTCACATTCCATATTGCACAACCCCTGATGCTGCATTAATACTGCACTATACGGTAGAGTTCAGCAACCCTCAGCAACGTGGGACCTGAGGTAAAAGGACCTTCTTGTAAATACATTCCTTCTTCCACTCTGCAGGAGTCACCCAAGGGACTACTTCGGGTGCTCTGATTTCATGAAGGTCACCAAAAGATCTAAAACAATCCTGTCCAACGTGGAGCCCTCTAGATGTGCTGAGACACAACTCTCAGAGTTATAGCCATTGGCCAAGCTGGATGGAATTCTGGTCCCAACACATCTGGAAGGTACCGGATTGGGAAGGTTAGAGCTTCACCAAGTAGTTGTTGCTGCTGGGAAACTAAATTAGCAATTTGTCAGCCACGTCTTTGCGGGGGGCAGCGTCAAGGGACAGAACATGATGAAGGCAGCAAGCCCTGCTCCGTTTGAACATGTGTCATGGAGTTTGCAGTACAACAGTGCAACACTGCTTTTGTTAAAATGACAAAAGCACCCAGAGCTTGCAGATACCCAGGGAACTTGTAGTCATGGTACCAATTTAACCAACTAGTTTAGTAGGTCCCAACAAATGCTACAAACTCTATCTTACAAGAGTAAATGCAGGTGTACTTTAAGTGCTCTGAAAATCTTTTTTTTGGTTGACTTTCCACTATTTTTTTCATCATTATAGTGGACTGTTGCTTCAAGATTTACACAAATGGATAGGGATGGATGGATGGACGGATGGATGGATGATAAATAACCTCCACTGGAGCAAAGATAAAGCAACGGTTGATTTTGATTGTGTGGCTCTAACAAGATTGCTTGGGTTACATGAAGAAAATGTGAGAAAAGTGGCTTGCTCTTCTTCTTGGTAAGAGTTCCCATATGAGATCTCCCAAATCCAATTTAACCGTAAATAAATAAATTATCTGAGGGCTAGGGACAAAACCTTCCAGTTCAATTTCAACCTTCCAATCCAACTCCAACTTAATTTAACTTTAAAATCAACTTTGCATTATTACACTTCACTGAAACCTTTCAGTAAGGGTGTCCACCTGCTGTTCAGATTTCTGAACATTTTTGCTCACAGCAGTAGCTTCAACAAGAAACATAAAAATCTGAAATACCAGACTGGGGAGACATTTCATTCAGCAACTTCACCATGCCTTCCCCCTGGGTCTCAGTCCACTTCTTGATAGGTGATCCGCCCCCAATCCGCCTGTACTGTTCTTGGATTTTTGGAGCGCGGCGCTTTGCAATAAAAGGTCCTAATTTACTGAAATACATAAAGGTAGGTATGGTTAATAAGCATACCATTTTACCATCATTCCCCTTGATAGGTTAAAAATGAAATGTATTGCTAAACACACATACACACTTAGGGTGCTAATATAGCACCTCTGTGAAGTCTCAGTGCTGTCCATGAAGTCTGTGAAGAATCGCTTTAAACGTGACTCCAGTTGCAAATAATAATAAGTGGCAAGTTCTTCCTGACTATTTTGCCATCTGGTACTTGCCTAGAAGCTGTAGCTCTTTCATGTTGCAAGGACTGACATAATCTGGAAAATGATGAATGGTTTCTAATACATTTATATTAATGTGTAATAAATGTATAAGAAACTGAAAATAGGTAAGCACAAATAGGGGCAACTAAATAAGAAAAAAATGTGCACACCAGCATTCATCCATTTATTTAGATGTAAATGCATTCTCCCTTCTCCAACTTGGTGATTTCAAGTTAATTTATACAATCCCCAAATTCCAGGTAATGGCTAAGAATTCTGCAAGCCTCAGGTTGGAAAAGGTTAGCCTACAAAATCATCCTGCTAGCATAGATCCTGAAGTAACTGGAATGCACTGTCCATGCACGAGGGGGCTTAGAGGAACCCATGAGGCTGCAGAAATGCAAAGGAAAATATTTTTTTTAGAGAAACGGATTAATTGTATTCATTTTGTTAAATTAAGCAAGTTCTTAAGCCTCCCTCAAGAAATTCAGCAGGATGTCTGGTAGCCAAAGGATTTTCTTACTTTTGCACTGGAAGTGTCATTAGATCTCTATCAAGAAAAAGTCTCAGCAGGAACTCATGGACATCTTCCAGGGTCTCTGGACCCCCCATATTTAACATTAAGATCCCTGTTTTAGGTTTCCTGCAGAGAAAATAAAAGAAAATAAAATGCATTTCATATACCACTTATAAATTAAAGTCAGACTCTATTTCTCAACCTCAGCGACTTTAAGATGTGTGGACTTCAACTCCCAGAATTCCCCAGCTGGACACATTTTAAAGTCACTGAGGTTGAGAAACACTACGGTAGAGTCATATTCCCGTAGTTTTCTGGGCAACAATTTGGAAGTGGGCTTCTCATTACCTTCTTTCAGGACTTTCTTCCTAAAGGTCTTCTCTCCAAGTCAAACCTAAGTTGGTCTGACCCTCTTCAAGGCCAGCCAGAAGCATCTGGCACACCTCTCGTGGATTACCAAATAAAGATCGTTTGTGTCTTTGCTATTTTCCTAGGAGGTACCCCAGAGTAATTTTGACTCTCCACTAGGGAAAAAGTGCTACAGCAAAGTGAAGAAAGAGATTTTTGATAGCGCTTTTTATTCTCTGTTAGAATGTTGTAGCAGCTTCCTTCAAGAAGAATGGACAGGGATGGAGGTACATTCAGCTTCAGTAACTCTTCTACCATGCCTTTGTGCCCTCAAAAAAGCTCCTTTTACAGATTCTCTGGAGACTGGAGAATATTTAGAAGCATGACCTCCAGGTGGAGAATCTGCTTAAAATATTCCATCAGAAACACCAGGCTTGCTAACGGTTGCTGCAGAGATTAGTCATTAGAACTAGATGACATTCTCATGTACACGACTTTATTTCCAATATTCAGAAAGTAGCTTTGCTTACTCCTCCAAAAAGTGTTACCCACGTACAAGAGGGACGAAGCAGGAGGCTCATGAAAATCCCAAGGCTGGGAAAACTAAAATAAAAAATCAATAAAGAAAAAATACTAAAAATGGGAGGGGAACCAGAAGCACCCCAATGAAGACTGAACGTGTTCAAGGCGTGCAGAAGGCCAGCAGAGGAACAAGGTGATGGGAACAGATGGAAATCTAAACCAGAGGCCCTTCAATGCTGCACGTCTGGCTTGGTTGTGTGAAAACAAGAGGATCCAACAGGCGAGGAAGGCTAACAGATCTGGGTGGCTTGCAGTCTGGTTCATGTAGTCAACCCAGAGTTCAAGCTTCTGTCTACATACTCCTTTGGCACTGAGAATGTCCAAACAGGGATTGTGCATCAGGCACACCTAGTTTCCAGGTAGACAAAAAGAACTGAGAGCAACGCCCAGTTTAAGGAAAGCGATGGTCGCAATCAGTTGGTCAGAGTTCAGAAGGATAAAATCTGCCACCTCCTATTTCTGCCCCATCTAACCTGTCCACCCCATGCAGCTGGAGTCTATAACATGGGTTCTCCTGGCTGGGGAAAAGCTCAGCGGTCAGCTTACACACTTACACAGGACTCCATCCAATCAAAGCACAGAATGGATAGTAACTGCTACACTTGACAATGTCTGCAACTTTTAAAAAAGTATTAGAACTTTCATTTGCTTGTCACCCATTTGTCTCTGCCTTTCAGTAAATGACTAGTCAGAAACCTTTAACATAAAAAGTTAGGAAACTAATAATATTGTAACCTCGTTTATGGCATAAAGACAACAAAACATTTACAAATATGCAGTAATTAGCACACTTAAGGAGCTGGGGCCTGCCTTTCCTTGGGATTTTCTCTCTGGAACAGCTACATTTCAAGCAGCAGAAATCTGAGTTTTATTTCAAGTCCCGGGAAAATATCAACCCATTGAACACTAATCTTACAGCATTTGTGTCTCACAAAGTAACAAATATAATGAAAAGCTGATTCCAGGGAACAATTCTAAAAATAATAAAAAGTTAATTCCTTTAAATAACCTTCCTTTAAGTCAATAAGCTTCTTCCAATTGCACTATTCCCTTTTAGCCAAACAGGTAAACCTTCAAAACCCTTTTTCCCAAGCAAAAAGGAAATTGGCTAAAGTTTTTTCCTGCGCTAGCTTCAAATCCCCAAGATGAAAGAAACCTGAGATATTCTTCAGAAGTCAAGTCTCAGAGCAAGTCACAGGACAATCCTACGCTCAGAAGTAAGTTCTACTAAATTCACTGGCACTTATTCTCAAGTACATTCCTAACAAGAGGTTAGGATAAAAAGCATGTGGAGTTCTTGTTCTCTCTGAGCTTGGTTTTTGCTTGGAGATGTTTCATCACCCAACTAGGCAACATCAGTGCGAGTGAGTGTGGAAACTACACCCCCACCAACCCTGGCAGGGCAAGCCACTGCATATAAACAGGCAGTAAACCCCACCCTCACTTGCACTGAAGATGTTGCCTAGCTCAGAGAGACCAAGAACTCCACAGTTCTGTCCTGAGCTACCGGTATTCAATTCCATTGGAATAAAAAGCGTGTTCTTTCTTGATCTTTTGCAGCAAGTTTTCTCTGTATGGAGCACTGCAGATTTGGGACAAACCAGGGAGGAAAAAACAAGATAGTGTTTTAATGGACAGGTTATAAAGGTAAGAAAAAACTGAGATTTTCTTCCTTCTGTACCAAATGGCTCATTCCCAGTCAACTGTGGCTGGGAAGCCATCAAACGCTGGGTGAAATTAGGGCTATATATGCCATTCCATTGGTGCTTCTTACCTCTTTTCAGGCTGAATCTCCAGCCTTGCTTTTTGTACAGCTGCTGTTGACTGCCATCTCCAATGCAACTGGACCCTTGTTTGATTCCAGCTGTTCCCTTTTGCAACTAAAGGGAACACAAGAGACAAAGCAAGGCAATTTACTTCCTAGAATTTTACTCGATGTTTAGAGAATATTTGGGTCATATAAAGCACACACCAAAACCTGTTCTACACAAATCAGATCAGTGTACTATTGACCATGGTGTGCACAGTTTTGCCTTTGAGCAGCACTCCAGAACCCACATTCCAAGATGCAGATGGAGCCTGGAGAAAGAAGTGGGTAGAGAACTACATTTGAGTTTGATTTCATTGAACTGACAGTGAAACAAATGCAACTAATTATAGTTAATATGCTTCCTCCTAAAATCTAACCATTTGCCCCTTCTGTCGTGTTAAAATTTACAACTTGATGAAAATTTCTGGAGATGCTGTCCTGGGACCCAGTGATGAAGCTCTGATCCATCTGGGCTGGCCAAAACGGAAGCTGGTAACTTCTGCACACAAAACAATGAACTGTGTCACAAGGTGACTCACAGATGGACATTCCATGACTTGAGAGGACCACTTTATTACGGACTTTAACAGTAGGAAATACATTAAACACAAGCAGCTTATCTAAGGAACGACTTATTTTGGCTGCCTTTGGTCACATTAAAAGGATTATGTATCAAAGGCTGGAGAATGTAGAACCACAAGCTGAAATCAGCTCCCTAACCTGGAGGTCTAGAATCTTCATCAATAGGAATACCTGTATTTTACAAAATATCAGAGTCCCCTACCCTCCTCCAGCCTAAAGAAATAGTTATTTAGAGCTGGCATAATATTTTACCCTCTTCCCTCCTAAGGGGCAGGTATTACAAAATCCCTATAGACCAGCTGGGGAATTGTGGGAGTTGAAGTCCACACATCTTAAAGTTGCAAAGGTTGAGAAGCACTGCTACAGCATTTATGGCCATATGACTCTGGGGAGAGAGAGTCAGTTCAGCATGCATGAACAGACTGTGACTGCTACAGAGACTCTTGAAAACGCCATCTCATCTTCCTGCCATTCCCAGACAAAACAGGTGAGTTTTCCACTAAACCAGGGTTCCTCAACCTTGGCAACTTTAAGATGGGTGGACTTCAACTCCCCAAATTCCCCCCCTGCTCTAAATGGGTTTTTTAATACCTTTCCGGCGGGGGGACGTATGGGGGTTTGGTCTACACGGTTTTAAGTTTT